AGCTTGGTCCCCCTCTCTCTGAAGAAAAACAAATTCCAAGAGGCTGGTTCCATCCCTCTACAAATGAAGACAAACGAGCAAGGCCTTTGAATAATAATCTCAAAGCACCTTGGGTGATGCAACGCTCTTGAGGACCAAGGGAAGCACCCACACCATGGTCCTTACATAGGTCATCATGAGCTATAGCAAGTCCCTGTCAACATGGGGTTGTAAATAACACGAGTTCTGAGGAGAAGAAAACATGAGGACAGTTAACATTCTTCATCCACAGAGCTCCTTGATGGACAGGGCTGTGTGATTAGACACAAGCAGTGCTAATTGATAGGTGGGTTTTGCTTAATTAACTGGTTGGACTTCTACAGCTTGCCCAGGTGAGGTAGGAGGGATACATACACAAGCTTTTCTGTGAATTTGTGGCACACTCAGAGCATTCATCAGGGCTTATATCCTACTGGGATGGGTGCTAGAATAAATCTGAGGTAGAGAACTAGAGAATAATAGAGGATCAAGGCCAGGGAGTGGGTAGGCATCAGGTATGGTATTTTCCCAATACATGTTTGGCCTTCAGGACATCACAACCAGGTTATGGTGCACAGGGCTTTACTACTGTATTCGATGAGTGTTTGTAATTAATTTAAAGAGGTTGTAAGTTGGGCCCCAGGCTCATTTGGGATGGTTTGTCCTTGGGAGAAAAGCTTTGCACCTAAACCGAACTCCAAGGAAAAATGAAAGGGGAAACCAAGTATTTTGGATTTTTAAATTGGCTTTAAAGAGTACTAAGTTCCCACCCCAAAATGGGGCCGAGAGGTCAGCCCCCGCCTGTTCATAGCGCAGCTCTGTTACACACTCAGGGAATGCTTTGAGGGTGATCTCGTTGATCAGCCATTTGCTTGGGCCAAAGCTCTGGTGGTGTTAGCAGCTAGATGTCAGGGAGGGTGGCTGTTTTGCTTTGCCTCAGGTGAAATCCCGATGTATGTAGTAGGCCAGGATAGGCCTAGGCAACACTTGAGCCCCAGGATTTCACTCTGTTGTGAACAGTAAGATACTGAGCAATTGATAATACAAACCCCAGAAATATCCAAGCAAGAATCCATTCACTAGCTAGGAAGTTACTGTACCTTAGAGTCCAGGATCAGATAGCTTGCAGGGAGTGGGGGCTTTTCCATGGCTACGCACACACAATCAATGTGCCTGGGAACTCTTCCAAGCCAAGCAGAGAGTGTGCAGCAGTGCCAACTCTTATGACTTTATCGCCAGTCTCATGATACTTGGTTTGTTCTTAAAGCCCCAGCTCCTGGAGGCACGGGATTAGGTGAGAATCTCAGCCTTTTAAAAAGAAGTCTCTGTCCCTTGTGGTTGCGGAGAAAAGCCTGAAACTGTGACCTGAAGGTGCCCAAAAGGGGGAGGGATAGCTCAGTGGTTTGAGCATTGGCCTGCTAAACCCAGGGTTGTGAGTTCAAACCTTAAAGGGGCCATTTAGGGATCTGGGGCAAAATCAGTACTTGGTCCTGCTAGTGAAGGTAGGGGGCTGGACTCAATGACCTTTCAAGGTCCCTTCTAGTTCTATGAGATAGGTATATCTCCATATATTAAAAGGCTCAAAGAACAAGAGCCCTGAATATAGATTAAATCTCATGATTTTTTTGAGGGGCTAAACCCATGATTTTTGGGGGGAACGTTATGTAACAAGCAGCCACATCTACAGTAGGATGGTTGTTCATGGGCTGGCTGTAGTGGTCACTTGGAACTTAACAGCTGTAATAGGGGATACAGCTTGGCTCCTCCGGCTCCAAAAGCCCAGGCCCTTACTGCTTGAGCTATAGGAAAATCTCCATAGCTAGCTAATGATGTAGGGACTATGACACACAGTTGATCAATTCAGATTCCATTCCATAGAGGGCAGTGCTGCACATAAGCCAGTCGATTCTAATGCATATTAACTGCAACAGGCATAGAGCTCACTAACAAGTGAGGTGGGTGTTTCTGGAGTGAAGGAAGCAGCCACGAGGTGTTTCCAATGAAACTAGCTGCCTTGTTTGCAGAGGTTACGTAACCACAAACATGCCCCGACACCAGTTTTGCCTTTTAAAGTAACAGAGGTAAAGCCACCAGACCAGAAACGCCAGCCCCAGGATGGTAAGTCCCAGCTAGGGCTTTCAGGCAGGCAGTTCCTTATCAGAAAACAGGCCTTTGGCTCCAGTTCAGAAAGCGGGAAACTTTTCACTCCTTGTGCACCTTTGTACGACACAGTGCGTGCGTGGACTCCCATTCCCTCTTGCGCACGCACGGCTTCATGTGCTCCGACAGGAATGAAGGCAGGGCGGTAGCTCCGCAGTCTGTTCCTCGCCGGTGTCGCTTACATTCCCGAAGACAGGAAATTACTTCCCTTCAGAGGTGACTCACCTGGGCTTGGGAAACATCCCCATCTTCACATCCCAGCTCACAGAGTCATTCATGAAGGAGCCTCTGATATTTTGGGCTGTCTGTTCCCTGGTGGGTAAGTACCGGCTTTCATTTCCTTTCTATCGGGAGAACTACGGCCTTCAATGGTTTTACTGGTGCAGGGGCTGGTTCCCCCAGCAGGGGGTTGCTGTTATGTGGCTGCTCTAAAATGAGAACTAGAGCAGGGGTTCTCAACCTTTTTCTTTCTGAGGCCCCCACCAATGTGCTATAAAAACTCCATGGCCCACATGTGCCACAAGAACTGGTTTTCTGCATATAAAAGCCAGGGCTGGTGTTAGGGGGTAGCAAGCAGGGCAATTGCATGGGGCCCCATGCCAAGTCACATTGCTCAGGCATCAGCTTCAACCCCGGGTGATGGGATTCAGGGTCCCGGGCTTCAGTCCCAGGCGATGGGGCTTCAGCTTTCTGCCCTGGGTCCCACTGGCCCTGCTTGGCGGCCCCTCTGAAACATGCTCGCAGCTCCCCACGGGGCCCCGGACCCCTGGTTGAAACCCACTGACCTAGAGAATTCGCTTCTGCTCAGGTTAGTTTTTAAGCTCTCCGCCGGCATTGCTCTAATCTTAGTTGTTTTTGTAGCGCTGCTGGAGTGCACGGTGCTGTACAGACTAGCAAGGGAAGGACTAGGGGCTTGCCCTAGGCCCGATCCAAAGCCTGTCAAAATCACTGAAAGCCTCCCATTGACTTCACTGGGTTTTGGATCAGGCCCTCTCGGAATTAGCAGACCTTGGGGCTGGAGGAAGGTGCAATAGGAAACTGGCAGGGGAAGGAAGGTAGAGGGATCATAGAGGTCAGATCATTGGCTGGGTTTCTGCAGGAGGCAGCCCCAGAGCTGAGGCCAGTTACCGTCAGCAAATACACCAGGCGAAGAGCTGAGCTTAATGACTAAGGGGCTGTGTCACCCCCTTCAGCAGTGGGATCCTCAGGATAGGGGTGCGGGACAGGGGCAGGGTGAAGAGGGGTTCAGGTCTCTCCGCACCATGGATCCCCAAGATCTGTTTGAAGTGTGCCCCCGAATCCGTGGCAGATGGAGCCATCCACATGGAAAGCCCCTTTCTCCCCCCGTGTTCTGTTGGGCCCCCTCCTGCCAGTGGCTTGGTCCTCCTGGGAATGCTAAGTAGCAGCCATGGAGAGGACAGTGGGACCTATGGCTGCTCCCAGCTGGGTTAACTCGCTCCGGTGTCTGTGCAGAATTCCAGCAGGCTCTCCGGTGCCACGGACCACGGCCAGGCCCCTGCCCCCTCTCTCTCCTGCTCCCCCAAGCCCTGCAGAGCCCCTTCCAGGACACATCTGAGCAAAAGGGACTTCTGTGGGGAGCCATTGGGCTTGGGGTGTGTGGAGGTAGCACGCAAACAGCATTTGCCCCAACTCCCTCGTGGGCAGAGGAAGACTCAGAGCCAGGTGCTGACCCCCAGGGGGGCGCTCTGGGACAGTAGGGCAAGAGAAAAAGCAGCAGCAACCCTTTTATGCCGAGCAGCGCCAGGGGCTGTATCTTTCTGAGGCTGGCTATGTGAGCACAGGGGCCGCAGGGTCAGTCCTCAGACCTGGCTCCAGGAGCCCACAGAGGGCCTTTCACCCTGGGGCATACTTAGGGCCACGTCCTGCCCTCTTTCTGCCCCCACCAGCGCCCACGTTACTATCCGTGTGCACTGCCCTTGTGCCCAGAGGGAAGCTGTGCTGGGCCCTGCACGGACAGAGGTAGGCATGGCAGCTCGCACTCAGAATAGGGGCGTCCATCAGGGCAGAATCTGGCCAGCCCCTGTTTACTTATCGCCTGGTGCCAATACGTTTCCTTGTCGCTTCGGCTGCACCTAGTGACTTCTGAAAATGTAGGTCACTGGCTCCAGAGGGACAGCCGGGGCATGCTGTGTAAACACGGCCTCTTTGAGGGTTAGATGCTAAATATAAGAGCCTGGATCAGTTCCCTTGGCTGCATTCCAGACCAGCAGGTAGCACGAATAAGTCGTGGGAAAACCTTGCCTTGTGTATTTACGTGAGTAAGTGCTCTGAAGGGAGCCCAAAGCCCGAGCCCTGGTCCGTGGCTCACATCAGCTTCTTGCTGGGCTGATTGCTGGGGCAGAGTAGCTCTCTGGAGCACGTAGAGAAAGATCAAGTGATTTCCCTGCTCCCCAGAGCCAGGCTCCTGGGCCGAGCCTGGTGAAGCCAGATGGCACGTAGCTGGGGAGTTGTCTTTACCCTGACGCTCCCAGGCCAGAGTCCACTACCAGGCCCTTCAGCAATTCCTCTGAGTATTGCTCTCTGTACAATCATCCTGAATCCAACCCAACTAGCCGGCCGACTTCTCTTGGCAGGAGAGGTTCTTTGCCCTCACTCATGCAGGGTTCAGCAAGGTCAGCCAGGAAGTGACACCCTAAATGTTAGCGTAATGCTCCTCACTGCCCAGGGAAGAGGCAGGGAGGCATGGATTGTTCTTGGCAAGCTGCCTTTGGTACCCAGATCAGGGGAATCCTCAGGTGGTGTCAAGCCACTAGAGTGGCACTTATTATATATATTGCAGTAGCATCTAGGGGCCCCCCAACCAAGGAACAGGGCCTCTCTGTGCTAGGCACTGCACAGACATGCGGCAGAAAGATGGTCCTCGCCCCAAGAGCTTAGTCTCCACCCACCCTCCCCATAGCCAGGGTGGGCGTGGCCCAGGAAAGGGAGCATGGCCAGCACCCCTTTATATCTGGCTGATTCGGGACTGCCTGAATGACCCTTAGAGCTAATGGTGTAAATCAGAGCAGCCTTCAAGGAACCAGCTAGAGGCCTGGACAGCTCGAGGTCTACAGGAATGCAGAGATGGCATAAAGGCACTGTTGCCCCTTGCTACTCCCCATGAGCTGTGCTGAATGCTTGGGGGGTCCAGCTCAGGATCTGACCTGTCGCATGTGGCTTGTTGTGCTAAGTGCACTGCTGCAGAATTGCAGGCTGTCTCCAGCAACTGGCCTCAACCCCAGCCCCAGCCTAAGCTCAGTCCACATCCAAACACCAGGTCCTCAGCCCATCTCCAGCTGACTGTAATGGGCATAGTCTGTAGTCCTTGATCACTACCATAGGGATAACTAGCACCCCCGCAGCTGGCTGAGTGTTGTGGCAAAGCTGGAAATCCTGGTGTTATGACTTGGAAGGTGCCTTTCAATGCTAGCTCCCTCGTTCCTCTAGGCTGTTCGATCGCAGAGAGGTCACCGCTTCTGAAACATGCAGCCTTTTCTTCTACAAACTTTGAGAACATCTTCAAGTGGGAAAGCGAAGCAGATACTCCCCCGGGCACAGTGTATGAAGTCCAGTACAAACGGTATGTGGGCTTTGCCTTCTCCTTGGGGCCCTGCTTGAATGGGTGTTGAGTTCCTGGATTTCAGGGAGAAAGGCCTGGAGCAAGAAAGCAGGCTTAGCTGCCAGTGGCTGCTTCTTTGACTGCCATGGAAATGACTCTGCTTGGAACTGAGCTCCAGGGTCTCGGAGTTAATCTCAGCTGGAGAGTGATTGTCAGTTAAGAAGGAATAAATGGAAACTGAAAGCTCTTTGCCAAGTGGATAAGGACCCTGAGCTGGCGGTTGGGGTTCTAATCCCTGCTCTGCTACTGACCTACTGTGGGACCTTAGGCTGTTCTGTGCCTCAATTTCCCCATCTGTGAAATACAGCTACTAATACTGCTTGTACTTTGGTAAAGTGATTTGAGCTAAACAGATGTGCAAGACTATAGAAGAGCTTCAAATGATTGTTCCAGAACTAGGAATAGGTGGAAAACTTTTGGCAAAAACAAAATAAAATAAAAAACAAACTCAGTTCCATATTGTTGGTTCATTTTCCAGCCAGTTCAAGCAGCACATATTTTCTGCCCTGCAGAGCCCAGCCTCCTCTCTGTGGGAAGGGAGAGGTCAGGGTTATTTCTTGATACAGTCATGGGCGTTTGAGAGCTGGTTTAGAAACAGGCCACATAACATTTCCCAGGCTGCGCCCAGGGGGACTTCAGATAATTGGCCATTAGAATTTTCTTGCAATCCCACCGCACTCTGGCCCAGCTGGAGGGTCTTCTTCTCGGAAAGCTCACGGTTCTACCGCTCTCTAACCCCAGCCCAGCCATCCCTGTCCAAGCCTGCTGTGGGTCAGCGACAGTGATCACGTTGGATTAGCATAGTTAGCTAAGAGCCCCAAGGGAAAGTGCGGTCTAGACAAAGAGGCTCCTTTGTGGATCATCTGGTCCTACAGGCCATGAGGTCCCGGGCTGCATCTGTGGTGGTTCACGAGACACATGCAGGACCCAATTATGCAATCCTGTTCTTTTCCTGAGCTGCACTTACTCATGTGAGCTGCAGTGCGACTATAGCTGGGTAAATGCTGCTCAGCATAAAGGCTGCAGTATCAGGCCCAGGGTGAATCCAGCCACTAGCTGGGAGCCCCCGTCCATTGAACAAGTCTACTGTAGGGTCCTGGTCACCCAGGGCTTGATCACTGAATTCAGAGGAGCCTTTGGCGAAGACTGACCCCAACCCCTGTGCTCCGTTGGGTAGCTGCTCTAGCTGCCAAGCTACAGGGAGCTTCTGGCAGTGCTTAATTTGTGCCAGGGCTTGGCAGGGCTGAGCCCCGGCACATCTAGCCTGGGCAGTTCATAGCCCTGGCACCTCTGATCTTGCCGCATCAGTTATGAAAGTAAAAAAATTGCTTGAGCCCCAGCACCTCTTTCATTACAAATTAAGCACTGGCATCTGGGATCAGCTTCTCCTTACAGTTCCCCTGAGAGGAGGAGACACAATCTATGCAAGGAGCCTCTTCCAGCAGAGATGGCACAGCTGCTGCCTATGGGCCATGTGGATCCCAGATCAGCTGGGGTCCTGAGCAGGATGCACACACACAGTGAGACTGGCTGCTGCATGGAAGGCGCCATGTGTAAGAAAATTCTCCTCTAGGGTCCTGGTTACCAGCCGGTAAACACAGCAGTGGATTCCTGAACCCCTTCCAGAAAAGGCAGAGAGGGCGTGTGCTCCTTACATACCTACCTTATGATCCACAGCTCAGAATTGAAGCAGAGTTTCCTCTAGTCACCAGGGTCAAAATGTTCCATGTTGGGTGTCGACATGTGCCTAAATCCATATCTAGGAACCTAAATACAGAAAGTAGTTAGGTTCCCAGAGGTACTCATTGCCTGGCCGCTGGGTAGGTAGGTGCTCAGCCCTTCTAGAAATCAGGCCTCTTTAACTGTCTAGATAAAGGATAGAAGTATCTAACGTTAGGTACCCAATTCTGCAAATGTCACCTTTAATCTGTTCAAGGTCTTTGCCAGCTGCAGTGAATATGAGTTGTGTGTACTTCCTGGTCCCTTTTTGACGCTGATTCTGTTGTTCGTGTAAACAAGCCCCTTTTTCATAAAGAGATAGGACAAAAAGTTACCCGCTCACTGAAGAAATTCTCATCAATGGCTGAAAGAAAAGAATCTTTAAACGACCCAGTAATTGTATGTCCCAAATCTGTATACTGAGTCATTTATAGAGGGCTAAAAACCACTTTGGGTCTGGGAGCTATAAGACCTGGGTTCTATTACAGGATTGACTGTTCATTTTGGGTAAGTCACATCCCTGCTCTGTGCCTCAGTTTCCCTATCTGCAAAATGGGGGTGTGTGAAATGACACTTCACAAGAGCATTCTGAGGCTTAATTCAGTCATATTTGTAAAATGCTCTGAGATCCTGCTCCGAAAAGCACGCAAGAAGCAGAAAATAGTGGCATTGGTGTTGGTCATTACTTTGAAACTGCAGATCTCAAATATTTAGGGAGCGTGCATGCATGTGTGTCTATGATTGTGTAAAATATATTCTAGCAATTCGATAGGGCGGACTGAGAGCAGTCACTTTGTCTTCTCTTAGGTACGGGGATGAAGACTGGCTTCAGAAGAGCGAGTGCCAGAATATCACGCAGCCCTTCTGTAACCTCACGAACGAGACGGAAAACTTCAGAGAGCGCTACTATGCTCGAGTGAGGGCCATAGTCCAGAACTGCTGCTCCTCCGACTGGGTCTGCTCACAGAGATTCTACCCCAGAGAAGACAGTAAGGGATATGGCTGGAGTCTGTTAACACCACACCTGATTACTTTAGGCTCAGTCCTGTTCTCATTGAAGTTTATTGTGACATGTCCATTGGCTTCAGTGTTGCAGGACAAAGCCCACTATGGAAAGGGGCTTGTGGGTGTTTCCCCCTCTGAAAGAGACTGTGATGTCGGACAGGAAGGAGTTTGACTAGGGAGCTTTGGGATCCTGCTGACATTTGTGTCCAGAGTGGGTTGGAGGCGGAGAAGAGCTCCTGACCTCCCCTGGAAAGCCAGATATCTCTGACGGAGCAACTGCCCAGCTTAGCGCACTTGTGGGCTCTATTAAGGGATAGCGAGACCCAGCGGGACACTAAGGGGTATGATGGGAGCCTGTGAGCAGCCACAGACCTAGTCATAGAAGCTGTGAGATTGGAGCTGTAGAAGGTTAGGATAATCTGCCAGCCTTATGGATAATTAACATAATCTCACCTCCAAATCATCTCTGCCACTGATTGACAGTGTGGCCTGGGCAAGTCCCTTAGCCTCTTTCTGCCTCATTTTACCCTCTCTGTAAAATGGGGGTAATATTTACCATGCCTACTTCACAGGGACATTGTGAGACTTAGGGTATATCTATATCTAAATTCCACAGTGGTGCTTCCGTCAACCTAGGTGTGTCTATACCGGGGCTTAGGTTGGCTTAACTATATCTCTTATTTTTCACATCCCTGAGTGACGTAGCTAGGTCGACCTAGGTTTTAGGTTTAGGCCTCAGTGTTTCCAAAGCACTTTGACATCCTTGCATGAAACATGCTATAAAAGTGCCATGTAGTATCCCTAACTATTAGAAATTCACCTTTCTTTGGGGTGCATCTCAAGGTGGGACTATTGTACCCCACAGCCATTCTCTACAGTTTGATTTTTAAGGCTATGTGACCCTGACACACTACAGGCAGTCGCTTTTAACTCACAGCTGATCAAACGCTTTGCCTCCACCTGTAATCTTGTTTGATTTCTTTTGACACTTGCCCTTCAGTTTATTTGAGAATTCATCGTTCATAGTGACTCTTTCACAGCCTGCGATAAGGAATGATTGATGCCACATTTTATAAAGCTCCATAAAAGTTTAATAACTCTAGGCTGTCGGGCATATTGGGCTGAAGGGCACTGTACAATGTCAGAAGCAATAATTATACTCGCTAGTAATGTATCATCTTTCATCTAGTTAAATGACATTGCCCACTCTCCATCTTCTTAGCTACTATTGGAAAGCCGGAGGTGAAATACGTTCCTAGCGTTAGATCCATAAAGTTTTTCATCCAACCCCCCTACACCCCTCTGAGAGATGAGGATGGCTCCCAGCTAACTGTGGAAGACATCTACAGCAGATTTGATACCATCGATTACCACGTGATGCTATTCAGCCAAAAGACACACCAAGAGGTAACACACCTCCACAGACACACTAACCGTTGTCTTTCGTAAAACCCAGCCTTGTTTGTCTGAATAAAATGCGGGGGCAGGGCAGGCATAAAAGTGAATTCATGCTAGATGGGATTTCTGAAGAACAAGACAATTTTCAGTATCTTTGATATTCAGAAAAGCCCAATCCTACAACTGACTAGAAACTGACCAGACTCAAACGGGAACATGACCTATCTGGAAGGGTTGGTTGGAAAATGGATTTTCAATCTGTCCCATGAAAAATTTCAAGATTTTGAAACTTTTTTTCATTCTAAATGGGGACAAAAACCTCACAATTTCAAAAATGTTTATGAAACATTCATTTCGGGTCAGCTGAAACGTTTTGTTTCAATTTTAGCTCTCTTTTTATATGTACATTTCAAAATGAGAAGTTGTTTAAAAATGAAAAATCAAAACTCTTTGTTCTACAAATGTCAAAACTGGCTCTTTTGACACTTTTGAAAGTTTTTCCTCAATGTTTTCCTAAACAAAATTTCAGCAACATCGATGTGATTTTGTGGAAAAATTCAGTTTTGTCAAAATATCATTTTGTGATGGAAATATGTTGCAGTAAAAAATTATCCAACCAGCTGTACTATCTTCATTGTCTCAGGGAAGTGAAATACAAAAAGCAAACAACTAATGGTGGAAAACTAATCAGATATTTTGCTAATCTTGGGGGTTATTAGTAAGAGTCAGGTGAGGATTTTATTAGTTAATACAAGTTTTTTGTTGATTTTTTTCAATTGGAGTTGAAGTAATTAAATAATTTAACCTCTTTAAAATACAAATCTCTGCATTTGGGTTCTTTGTTTTGTTTTAACAGTGGGAAAAGAATGAGAACAACAAAGAATTTGAAGTTTCCAACTTGAACCCAGACACCGCATATAATGTCACAATATATCTCAAGCACTTAGAAAAAAGAAGCCAGCCTCGTGTATTTTGCGTTAGTACGTTACCAGGTGAGCCTGCTAAATCTGCACGTCTGAATTAGAGGCCCGTGTAGTTGGAAATGTGGAGGGGACATGGGCGGTGGGTGAACCCTGCCCCCCTTCAGGGAAGCTAGCACTGGCACTGCCCCTTCCACCCAAGGCCCCACCCCTCCACTCACTGAAGCTCCGAGCACTCCTCCCCTTTCTCCCTACCCCCATCCCCACGGCCAGAGGAGCCCCGGCCAGCCCGCCCCAGCCAGCACGGCTGGCTGTGCGGCCTGACCCACAAGCTGCCCAGGGCTGCTGGCTGGCCCAAGCCACCCCTGGCTGCCCCAGCCCCTGGCCACCAGACCGAGCCCCAAGCTCCAGGCCATTAACTGGAGCTGAGGCCCCGCTGGCTTTGGGGGACAGGGGGAGCGACGAGCGAGGGCAGGGTCTTGGGGCAGAGCATGGGTGGGACCACGGCCTGGGTTAGGGGAGGCTTAGCCTCCCCTGGCCTTCGATACCTGCTGCCCATGGGAGGGGAGGTGTCCATGTGACACTCTAATAAGAGGTGGGTCCATTCCATGAAAAGGCTTGAGAACCACTACATCAGGGAGCACAGTCCAGCAGCATGTTATTTCTCTATTTTAAGTTTCCACTACCCCAAGGCCTTTGTGTAATCAGACACAGCTAACCATGGGGAGAGCTGCCTAGGAGAGACAGTTTGCAATTACACTCAGAGTTATAAGAAGGAGTGGGATCAATTTATTCTCACCAGTCCATTAGGAATGGGAAAAAAAGTGATGATCTCAAACAGCAATAAGGAGCATGGTGGAAAACAGATGTGCTTAATGGCACAGTTAAGCCCTAAGAACTGAATGCTGGAGGATGGATTAGATGATCCAGTACATTATTTCCAACCCTATTCTGTGAGGCTAAATTGCATTTTTTTCCCCCCACTGAACAGACACCACCTGGCTCCTATACTGTGTTGGGGGAATTACATTTGCTACAGGATCGCTGTTTGTTGTGGTATGTTATGTGATCTATAAATACATCAAGCAACGCACAGCACGGCCGAAGTCTTTGGTAAGTGTCCTTAAGTCTTTACAGGAAATGTTTAATAGGGGAGAATGTAAATCCATCTGAATAGGATCATAGAATTATAGCAATGTAGGGCTGGAAGAGACCTTGAGAAGTCAAGTCCAACCCCCAGTGCTTGAGGCAGGACCAAGTAAACCTAGACCATCCCTGGCAGGTGTTTGTCTAACCCAGGGGTCGGCAACCTTTCAGAAGTGCTGTGCCGAGTCTTCTTTTATTCACTCTAATTTAAGGTTTCATGTGCCAGTAATACATTTTAATGATTTTAGAAGGTCTCTTTCTATAAATCTATAGTATCTAACTAAACTATTGTTGTATGTAAAATAAATAAGGTTTTTAAAATGTTTAAGAAGCTTAATTTAAAATTAAATTAAAATGCAGAGCCCCCCGGACCAGTGGCCAGGACCCGGGCAGTGTGAGTGCCACTGAAAATCAGCTCGCGTGCCGCCTTCGGCACGCGTGCCATAGGTTGCCTACCCCTGGTCTAACCTGTTCTTAAAACCCTTCAATGATGAGGATTCCACAAACTCACTTGGAAGCCTAGTGCAGAGCTTAACTACCCTTGGAGTTAGAAATTTTTTCCTAATATCTGACCTAAATCTCCTTTGCTGCAGATTTAAGCCCATTACTTCCTGTCTTGCCTTCAGTGGACCTGGAGAACAGTTGATCACTGTGCTCTCTATAACAGCCCTTAACATATTTTAAGACTGTTATCAGGTCCCCCTTCTATCTTCTTTTCTCAAGACTAAATATGCCCAGGTTTTTTTAACCTTTCCTGATAGGTCAGGTTTTCTAAACCTTTTATTATTTTTGCTGCTCTTCTCTGGACTCTCTCCAGTTTGTCCACATCTTTCCTAAAGTGTGGCGCTCAGAACGGGGTACAGTAGTCCAGCTGAGGCCTCACCAGTGCTGAGTAGAATGGGACAGTTACCTTCAGTGTCTTACATATAACATTCCTGTTAATACGCCCCAGAATATTAGTCCTTTTTGCAACTGCATCACATTGTTGAGTCTCATTGAATTTGTGATCCCCTCGAACCCCCAGATCCTTCTCAGCAGAACCACTACCAAGGCGTTCCCCATTTTGTAATTGTGCATTTGATTTTTCCTTCCTCAATGTGGTACTTTGCACTCCATTATCCAAGTTATTAATGAAAATATTTTAACAGTAATGGACACGGATTGACCCTCTCCGCTGTCCCAGTTTGACAGTACACCATTAATGACTCCTTTGAGTATCATCTTCCAACTAGTTGTGCACCTACTGTATAGTAATTTCATCTAGACTGCATTTCCCTAATTTGCTTATGAGACTGTCATGTGGGACTGTGTCAAAAGCCTCACTAAAATCAAGATATATCACATCTACTGCTTTCCCCCATCCACTAGGCCAGTAACCCTGTCAACAAAGGAAATTAGACTGGTTTGGCATGATTTGTTCTTAACAAATCCATGCTGGCTATTCCTTATAACACTATTATCCTCCAGTGCTTACAAATTGATTGATTGATAATTTGTTCCAGTATCTTTCTGGGTACTGAAGTTAGGCTGACTGATCTATAATTCCCCCGATCCTGTTTGTTCCCTTTTTTAAAGAGAAGTACTATGTTTGTGCTTCTCCATTCCTCTGGGACCTCGCCCGTCCTCCAGAAGTTCTCAAAGATAATTGCTAGCAGTTCTAAGATTGTTTCAACTTATTCCTTAAATATTCGAGGATGAATTTCATTAGATCCTGTTGACTTGAACACATCCAACTTATCTAAATATTCTTTAACCTGTTCTTTACCTAATTTGGCTTGTGTTCTTTCTGCCTTGTTAGTATTAATTGTGTTGAGTTATCTGGGCACCATTAATTTTATAGTAAAGCATGAAGCAAAATAGGCATTAAACACCTCAGCCTTCTTGATGTCATCAGTTATTAGCTCTCCTTCCCCACTAAATAGAGGACCTACATTTCCCTTCGTCTTTTTCTTGTGCCTAATGTATTTAAAGAACCTCTTCTTATTGCCATTTATGTCCCTTGCTAGGTTGTAACTCATTTTGTGCCTTAGCCGTTCTGATTTTGTCCCTACACGCTTGTGCTGTTCTATGGTAACTCCTCCTTAGCTATTCATCCATGTTTCCACTTTTTGTAAGATTCCTTTTTTGGTTTTCAGGTCATTAAAGTGCTCCTGATGGAGCCATATTGGCCTCTTACTATTCTTCCTGTCTTTCCTTTTCATTAGGATAGCTTGTAGTTATGCCTTTAATATTGTCTCCTTGAGAAACTGCCAGCTGTCCTGAAATCCTTTTTCCCTTAGATATTGTTTAAAGTTTGCTTTGAAGTCCATTGTCCTTGTTCTGCTGCTCTCACTCTCTCTGCTCCTTAGAGTCATGAAATCTATCATTTCACGATTGCTTTCTCCCACGTTGCCTTCCACCTTCAGATGCTCTACCAATTCCTCCCTCTTGGTCAGAATCAAATCTAACGTGGCTGTCCTTCTGGTTATTTCCTCCATTTTCCAAAACAAAAAGTTCTCCCATGTACAGTCCAAGACCATTTTAGAAATGTTGTGTTTTGCCATATTACTTTTCCAGCAGATGTCTGGGTAGTTAAAGTCCCCCATTACTACCAGGTCTTGTGTTTTGGATAGTTCTGTTATTTGTCCTAGAAATGCCTCATCCACCTCCTCTTTCTGATTTGATGGTCTAGAGTAGACACCTACCAGGACTTCATCCCTATTGTTTTACCCCTTTTGTCTTTACCCAGAGACTTTTCAATTGGTCTGTCTCTCACCTCCTTCTGGACCTCAGAACGAGTGCATATATTCTTGATGTTTCTCCTCCCTTTTTATCCTGCCTGCCCTTCCCGAACAATATACATCCCTCTATACCAATATTCCAGTCACGAGACTTATCCCATCAAAAATAGAATTCTAGCATGACTAGTTGTGGCAGATAACTGTACAGAAAAGGTAATTGCCAAAGGAGTGTTACACGTGCCTCACACAATGCAGCCTGGTCATTCTAACTCAGGGAAAGATTGTTATGGCGAGTTTCAGAGTAGGGCAACACAGGTGATGGCAGGTCTGAAGACTCTTTGTTATGAAAGGTTAAGGAAGCTGGGTTTATTCTCCTTGGAGAAGGGCTGACTTTGAGGTGATCTGCTGGAAGGTTTCAAAATTGTGAACCCCAAAAGCAACACTTTTATTCTTCTTTACAGCCTAAGTTTTCAAAAGTGACTAGTGATTCTGGGTGCCTCCAATCTTGGGTGCCCAGCTGGCAATAACTTAGAGGGACTTGATTTTTAGATGATGGATGCTCAGCACTTTCTGAAAATCAGCCCCCCATTAAGGTGCGTCAAGTTGGGCACCCAAAAATAGAGGCATCCAAAGTCACTAGTCACTTCTGAAAATCTTGGCCTACATGTTTATCCCTCCACGTGAATGGCCATTAACAGTATTGGGAGCTCTGCGTGCTAAGCTAAGGGCAATCCATTTCCATGCAGCAGGGTGTGAGCCAAATACAGCAGAGGGCAAGAAGGAGTTTGTTCCCTCATATGCAGGATTGCACAATTGGTCTGGTGCATGAGGAGGGGTGTTTGCCTTCCTTTGAAGGAACACTGGAAGACACAGGATCCCAGATCGTCTGGGCCAGTGGATCAGATCCAGTATGGCGGATTGCAAGCTCCTATGCACAGTTTCCCAAAGGGATTTTGCAATAATATAAAACAAACTTTGAAAACTCACAGCTTCATTGCTACTCACTAACGTTTGTCTTTCTACCACGACAGGACTTCAGAGGGATTTCAGCCTTCCAGCCCCTCATGCTAACAGTGGAGCATATTATAAGCCCCATTAATGATTTATCCAAAACTACTCTGTACACCCCAGATGTGCAGTTAATGCCAATTAATCTGCTGCAGCAGACGTCTTTATTCCATTTGCAAAAAACTTCCTATCAACAACAAGCCAATGTGTTGGCGTTTCAGCCCATCATTCAGCCAGTCAGCCAAGCGGATGGTTTTCCTTCAGCGTACGCTCCTCAAATAGCCCAGGAAAATCTACCATGCATGCTGAACAAGAAACCTCTGGCCTTGACATATGGAGTGTGCATCGAAAGCCCAAGATGCATCAACAGGAGGAATTCTCAGCCAGACCAGATGCTGCAGGATATTTCTCCTGAAAGGTTTGTCAGTGGCAAACTTAAAACCGAGACACCAGGCGAAAGGTACTGTGATGAGAACTACAAGGAGCAGAGGCCGAAGCTGGTAGAGAGAGGATTATGGGAAAGCCGTGACACTGACATGACAGGATCGGTGTTCTCCATGGGGCCAGCGCAGCAGCTGATGCTCCAGACAGACTGTGAGGAAGCTAAGCTGCACATGCCCCAGCAGTCACTGTCTCTGCTGAAGGAAGGAGGAAACTACAGATGGCAGATGGCAGGGTTGCTGCCATTGCTGTCCTCGCTGACAGTTGACACAAACTCTGTCTCAGAGGATGGGCTTCCTCCATCATCATCCTCCCCCTTACTAAAGTCAGTCTGTACCTGCGATGACCTCCCCGGGGAATGCAGCACAGGCCAGTTGATGTCATTAGATGCATTGTCATATCCTGAAAACAAACGGAAGCCTCCGGACTTTCAAACAACAGATGTGCTACCGGCAGCAAGGGAGCCGGGCTGCCTAGAACTAAACGCCATTGCACCCCATGCCTCTAGCTCCATCCAGAACACTGACATGCTTTTCACTATGCTGTTCAGAGACTTGGATTTAAAGGTACAGTGGGAGCATGGCCAGAATGAAAACACACTGATGTGTTAGCACAGCGTTGAATGATCTCTAAGGGCCGGATTCTGCCAACCTTTACTCACATTAATGAGTGCCCTACTGGGCAACCATCCTCATTGAAATAAATGGGATTACTCGCTGAGTAAGGTACTAATCAACATACGTAAGAGTGTTAGAATCTGGCCCTACATTTTCATGGGCACGGGTGCCTTTACTAACTGCATTGCTTCTAGGAAAGCTATGTTATCTTTGCACTTTAATAATACCTAGCTCTTTGTTTCTTGGATGTTGTGAAATGGATGACACCTAAAAGTTGGCCTATTTTAAAACCAGATTCAACCCCCATAAAATTTGGGTCAGTTTGGGGTGGGACCCAGATTTCGTAGCTGACACCTGTTTCTTTGCACCAAAATCTCAGATCTAAACTTTGGGAAAGTTCAGATCCGGATGAAGTCACAGCGGGAAACAAATCTCGTTCAGAGAGGCTCTCATGAATGGTCATTTCCCAGATGGTAATAGTATTTTTAAGCAGATTTTGTTTAGAGCATGGAGATTGCAGGCTGGGCCTGGAGTCTCATCGTGTGTTCGTCGGTCACTTATCACTCGTCAGCCGGAATCTATCAGAGGTTCTGAATCAAAGCTGATTGACAGGAGAGTCAGTTTGCAATGTCACTGGAAAACAAGGGTTAGTTCAAGTTACACTCTTTTTTTCTTTGGCTTTTGGCTAAGATCAACTGTAATACCAATACTGACTTGGACTCTTAATACATTCCATGGGTGGCGTACCCGAGCCCACTTATCCACTGACGCTTTAAAAACTCCCACACCCCAATCTGGATCTATGCTGGTTATGTGATATGTATGTACCTCGTGAACTTTGTAACGGATACTTGCAATCTCCCATAACCCAAGCCCGACCCCAGATGTACAGTACATTCCCTCTTAACTTGTGTAAATTTGATTTTAAACATTAACTTTAATAAATTTTTTATATCCACTGAATACCTGACACCTCCCCTCCTCCCCTGTGCTTATAGCAGGAATAACAGGTGTGTCTTTTCCATGTTTAATATCTCTGTCTTAAATGAGGAATGAATAAGGGCAACTAATAAAGAGATGAAGCATCATAACGAAGCCAATAGCTGCCAATTCACTGGCTTGTTGTAAGTGTTTCTATTGATGCTTCTAGGTAAATATTTATTTGGAAAAAAAACCTAATTGGATTTGTTCACGTACAATCCAATCCAAGGTCTTTATCACAGTTCCATCATTCAGTGGCTTTTTAATATTGTGTTCTCTTCCACTTCTTTATGACAGGGTCAGGCCAGATGGCTACAGGAGAGTGATCCTATTGGGATCCAGGAAGTGGGCGGGCTGCTAAAGGATCTCCCTCCAGCCTAAGGGGGGGTCCACAGGACCTGGAGACCAAAAAATTACGGGGGAGTGATCCTATTGGGATCCAGGAAGTGCTTCCCTGCTCCCCACTCGCCCTGCAGCCTCTGCACCGCCCCCCCCCGCCCCTGCAGCCTCTGAGACCCCTGCTCCCCACTCGCCCTGCAGCCCCTGCACCCCCCCACCCCTGCAGCTTCTGCGCCCCCTGCCTGCCCTCCTCCTCCTCACCCTGCAGCCCCTGCACTCCCCCGCCCCTGCAGCCTCTGTGACCCCTGCTCCCCACTCGCCCTGCAGCCCCTGCACCCCCCTGCCCCTGCAGCCTCTATGCCCCTGCCTGCCATGCTCCTCCTCACCCTGCAGCCCCTGCACCCCCCCGCCTCCCCTGCTCCCCCGCTCCCCCAGCAGCCTCTGCCTGGTGGGGGCTTCAGACGCTCAGCGGCGACCGGGGCGGCACGGGTCCCTGCAGCCCCGGCCACAGCTTCCTTCCTGCCGCCGCCGAGCACGTTCCCCGGCCTGTTGTCCCCGCCGGAAACAGCTCCCGCGGCGCCGGGTTCCGAGCCGCGCGGGGCAACAGGGCCACAGGAAGGGTCCCCCAGTGGCTGGGGGGTCCCCGCCCACGAGGGAAGCCCAAGGCCCCCCCCTCCCCGCCCGAGCTCGCTACAATGTAGCCGGGGCGGCTGGGCTGCGCTGCGGACCCGCGGATCGTGCTGGGGCCGGGCGGACCCTGGCTTATGCCTCCCTATTTCCCCGGACATGTCCGGCTTTGGGGAAATTCCCCCCGGATGGGGATTTGAGCACCAAAAAGCCGGACATGTCCGGGGAAATCCGGACGTATGGTAACCCTAGAGGGTGTGCTGCTGGAGGACTGAGGAGTACAAGTGTTATCAGACACCAGGAGGAAGGTCCTGTGGTGAGGATAAAGAAAGTGTTTGGAGGAGGCCATGGGGAAGTAGCCCAGGGAGTTGTAGCTGTCATGCAGCTGTTACAGGAGGCACTGTAGACAGCTGCAATCCACAGGGCCCTGGGCTGGAACCCAGAGTAGAGGGTGGGCCCGGGTTCCCCACAAACCTCCCAACTCCTGATTAGACTAGGGTGACCAGATCCCCTGCGGGACCCGAGCAGGACGGGGGGGCTGGGTCCTGCTGCCCCCACTCCGGGGCTGCCGCGGGATAGCACCAGCTGGGCAGCAGCTCAGACGCAACTGGCCAGGGGCTGGGTGCAGCGTGCGCGCTGCTGGGTCCCCGCAGCAGGCCCAGGCTCGGGGGGTTCGGGCCCGGGCGCCAGAGCCGCAGCCGCCGAGCTTGGCCATCGGCCGCTTCCTCCCCCCGCGGCAGTGGGAGCTGCAGCAGCGGCTGCTCCCGAGTCCCGCTGCCCAGGGGGGGAGAACAGCCGCCGCCTGGCCCCGCGGGCCACCCCCCTCCTCTCCCTACCGCCCGACTGAGTCCTGCCTGCGCTCGGGGCCAGGCCGGACTCTCACTCACCCTGGCCCCGCGCTTCCCCTGTGTCTCCCGGGCATCCCTCCACAAGCGCTGGAGGGAGGAGGAATGGCGAGCCTGGGGAAGAGGCGGGGATTCGGGGAGGGAGCCAATGGGGGAAGGAGGGGGCGGAGTCAGGGCAGGGCAGGGGCGCGAGCACTTCCGGGCTCCGGAGTATTTGCTTGTTTGTCCAGTGTCCCGACCTAACATTGGTCGGGACGCGGGACAAACAAGGAAATATCGGGACAGTCCCGATAAAATCGGGACGTCTGGTTACCGTACATTAGACACAGGAGGAGTTGACCCGGATGGTGGGTTCCACCAGAGGGGAAGATCTCTGAGGCGAGCAAATCCGCCAATAAGCACAGGACCCACCAAGGTAGAGGAGGAACTTTGTCACATCTTGCAGTGTGGGGCAATGGAGCCAGGGAACCTGTTAATAATTTTACGAACGAGTTGGTTATTTCCCCTGTATGTTGCAAACATTTTTCACGTGAGTTCAGGTTTCATCCCTCATTCTCTGTAGTAAGTGAATTATGACCATTAATTTTCATAGCAAGGCAAGGCCTTCCTTCCTCCGTTACATAAGCTAGCTGCTTATCTTCTACACCCAATAGTTACAGCGCTGAACTGCTAAGGAGGCAGCCTGAGTGCTCTAAGCCTCTGTTGGAAACTCTCTGCAACCACAGGTTCAAATCATGGCAGAGCGAACTTAACCTGTGTGCACTTTGGGGAACTAAATGGAGTTCCAGGCAGTGAACCTGCATTTGTGTCTTTAGCACGAGCCGTAGTTTTGCCTGCTTCGGGGGGAGACTCCAAGGACCCTTGGCACTTTTTGTGAGAGTCATTAGGGATATGCCCTGGTTTCCATAACTAAACATTTCTTCTCTCCCCACTGATGGGCAGTTTGCCCTGGGTGGGCTGGCTGGCTGCTTCCTTACACTCCAGAGGCAGCTGGTACTGTATGTTTTATGGTCAACTCCTGATGGCCCTACTCCATTTTTACACATCCCTTGGTCAGTCTAAACTCCCATCGGAGTCAATAAGAGTTTGGCCTGAGATAAAGTCTGAGTCAAGTCTTCAGACTCTGGCCCATTGTCTATACAGTGAGTTGGGAACTTTTGAATTAGAAGGTACCGACATACAAGGCTATTTATTCAAATTGATTACTTAGGCCCATGTCCTAACCCATTCACTTCCCGAGGCAGCTAAAGGTAAAATTCTCCAAGTGCACCCATGTGTCCTCAAAATCTATAAACATTCCTATTCCCGAGCCCTGTAAGGAAGGCTGTTGAGGCTCGGGAGTGATAGAATGGGGAGCACAAAGTAACCTAAAGCTTTTAAGGCACTGTGCGGCAAGAGAGACTCCCATGCTACTATGTGGGGTGAGGTGAGCTGAGAATCTGTCATTTAAAATGTTTGGTGTCATTCAACACTCTGTGAATGTTACAAGTGCGATGTCCCATTCTCTGACACTTTTATTAGCTTCTCTGAGTGTGACAGATTTTTCTTCCAGCCCAAATGGCAGGAAGTGATTTGTACTGACACCCCCCTCACCCTCCAAGCAGCCATTACGATCTAGTGACTCTGATTTGCTGCTGGTTCAAGATGAACACATGTCAGGCAGTGGGGTCATAGCCACAACTCTCAGGATCCAATTTCTCAGGGGCATTTCAATACACCTGCAGCCAATGCAGGGCAGACAGGGTGAAAACTGACCCTCTCACAGACAGGCTGCTTCTCAGGGCTTCCATGACAGGAGCTAGTGAGGGCTTTGCTAGGGTGTGACTTGGTATTCAGGGGGTGTGGTCCATTTGTTCTGACCCAGCCACATTCTCTCTATGCAGCTATCTGTGCAAAAATTAACCTGTTCTTACTAGTAATAGGTAGATGGTCGCAGGAAGTATACAGGCACCTAATGATGTGTGTGTGCCTGATGAGAGATCCATTACACCTGTTTCCAGGCCAATCTTCAGAATTTGGCAACTTTCTTTGGAACCTGCTACTTAAGCCAAACTCCTCTTTCTTACAGTTCTTCTGCCGGCCCATCAAATGCTTCCTGACTGTGAGATCGAGACAGAGTCATTTCCCTAGGGAAAGGGGAGTGAAAGCCCCATCATTTGAAGCTGGCATGGACAAAGTCCTAGGAGATATACTTCAGGGATCAGTAATATACAGGAGAAGCTAATTTTGGCTAGATTTTGCCATACAAAGCGCATTGCCCAAAGCTTTACAGACTTCAATAAATAAGAGTAGAGGGAAAGAGGATTTAGAGGCAAGGGAGAAAAGGGATATTTTCAGATTGGCTGAGCTGGGAAGCGGATGAGACAGTGAGAACCCTCATTGGCTGTGTGATGGGAGGCTGTGTGTATATTTCCTATAATAAAAGTTTCTTATCTCTGATTACTCTGATTCTCTCTTGAGTTGCATTGGGCCATGCACGCGATGGCATAGTGCCATCTCTGTAAAAGAATCAGCTAGCTACTCACTCTGCCTCTGAGTGCACGATCCCGACAAAGCCAGAGGCTGCTCCCTGGAATGGAATGTTTGCTTTGCTTTGCAGGTTCCTTACAGCCGCAAGTGAATTTATGGTCATAAGCTTCAGACATGGGCAATAAAGTGAAACCGAATTCCCCTTGGCCCACTGTGCTCTTCAGCGCCAGCAGGGCAATGAAACCGTCCTCCTTTGTCTTTTTTAATAGTTCAGCGTGGTCCCTGAGTGCTTGCTCAGTTTCCACTTGGTTCTTTTATTCCCTGGAGCCAACAGATTTTTTTCCCCCCTGAACAAGGACTGAGTGCCAATGGAGTCCCCACGCTATTCTCTGAGTGGGGATAGGGAAATTCAGCGGAGCCCAGCTGCAGAATGGAGAAGAGAGGGTAGGAGGAAGGCTGGGTCTGTGGTGTATATCCCTTGCCTTCAACGCCATGGGGAGGAGCCACCCTGGGGCCATGTCTACACTACAAAATTACGTCGATTTAACTTACATTGGCGTGCAATCAGTGCAATTATTACATCGCATGTGTGTGCGCACACTTAGCTCCTTATGGTGGCGGTGCGCGTCCTTACCGGGAGCACTTGTGTCGATCGCATTGACCGTGTGGGGCAGTGTGGGACGGCTCCTGAAAGCCAGTAACAGGCGATGTGAGTGACGCATCAGCGTCTACACTGATACTGCATCGACCTACTTACAGTGACGGTGACTTTGCGCCTCTCAGGGAGGCGGTGTTACTAAATCGGCGTACAGAGGCACTTACATCAGTGAAGAGACTTCCACAGCGAGGTCGACACAAGGCAGCTTACGGCAGCCTAACCCTGTAGTGTAGACCAGGCCTGGGTCGAGTGTAAGAGACATAGGCAGGGCAGGGAGGGGGAAGCGTATACTGTTGTACCTCTTCTATTGCTAAATAAAATCCGTCTTCAGGGACTTCTCTTCAGCATCTTTTCTCCAGCACTAACCTAAACTGAGGGGAAAATTCCTGTAGAGTAAAAATATGAGGCATTCTGCAGCTGATGCCCTGGATCTGTTCCTTTTCCAGCAGTAAACAGAGCAGCTGCTAATGCACGCACCATAGGACACAGGTGGGCTTTATTGTCCAAAGCACCAACCAAGTGGGTAATTATTTTGGAACGGGGAGAAGAGCAAGCTCGGCCTGTGATTTGGTACAGGTGTGGAGGAAAAGTCATTTGACGTGATGCTGTCAGTTTTAAGGGGGAAATGGGACGTTTCTGTAGGAATAAGCAAAGCCCTTCTCTGGGTGGTGTGGGGAGAGTTCAGTTGATGAGCGCTGTGGGGAGATGAACTATTCAAGACATGGGGGGGGGACAGTTTGACATGTTTTCTCACCCCAGAGGGCTATGAGGTCAAAGGTTACATTCCATTTGCCTTAGTGTGGTTTTGCAATTTGACTCTAACCCTAGAGTTTAGCTGTGGTTATGCTGGCAACAAGGGAATTGGGAAAAGGAGGGGTCCTACCTAGCATGAGCTCAAATGCAGTGAAATTCACATGTAGCGTGGAAGCCCCATGTTGGCACAAAGCATTGTAATAGGCAAATTGCAGTTCTGGTGATGGTGATGCGCTTCTTAAAGGGCCAGATCCTACAATCCTGAGGCAGAGGTCTGTCCTTAGTTCTCTCTCTGGCACACACATCACTGAATTCTATGGGAGTTCTGCCTGAGTAAAGGCTCCAGGATTTGCCCCAGAGCAAACTTCCTGTGTGGGGAAAAAGCTAACGTCCTCATCAGTGGTTTGTGCTCCACAGTCCATAGTGCAAGTGAACGATTTAAATGAGAAAAGCTAAGACTTGCCCAACTGGCCTGTGCTGCATCCAGAGGGAGGATCAGGGGCGGGAGGGGGAGTGAAGAGATTGGATAGCGGTGATTAGCGAGATTGGATAGCGGTGGAAACAAGAGATGGATTGAGTGTTTCTTTTACTAGCAGCACCAGCAAAGGTTCTCCCCCTACCCCGCCTGCACCCCAAAAATTTCTATTTGGATGGGAAGAAAGGTAGCAGTCCCGGCCCAGGGAGCTGGGGGCAGATGCAATAGCAGACGCAACAGTGTTGGGGTGCCTGGTGGGCCAGGCTATCGTTAAGGCTACGTTTTTTTAGGAGTTTGTCACTGGACGTGGGCAGGAACCGGATTTTCCATTTAGTGGAAATGGTCATAAAACCATTCAGACGAAAAACTATTGACCCTCTCTACTACTCACTTGAGAGGCGCATCACCCACCATGAGTCAGCCCCTGGGTCACCTGGCTCTAGAACTGCCCCTGGGCTAAGTGCTTTCGTCAGGAGCTTGTCTAGAAGTGCAGCAAAGGTGCAGATACTGTAGAAAACATTTCTATTGTGCTGCCTTTGCTGATGCCATTTGGCGCCATTGAGTTGATCTGGACGGTTGTTTCCATAATGACGCCGTTTGCACTGGTTCATGAATCATGTGCCTCTATGACGCCAGCAGAACATTCTCCCCTAGGAAATTACAGCTACAGATGTTGCAACAGGCCAGCTGCCTGTTAACATGTTGTTTCCAAAATAAAGGCTGGGTCGTAACATTCTGCGAAGCCGCTCCCCCACTGGCAAGGCTCCAGCTCAAGCCAGTGATATGGGCTTCTTGTTTCAGTGTTGTCGCCTGCAGGCTGGGTATCTCATGTCAGCAGCATTCCGGGCGATGCTACTCCGGGAATAATTAAATGCCACCGTGCTCTCATGTCATACTGGCCGGTGTTGTGAAACAAAACCCAAGACGCGGGATCAGCAGGGACAGCACAATGGGGGAGGGCAAGGCGTCTCGGCGACAGCTTTTAAAAGATGCTGTTGAGAAATACAGCCTGTGCACTTTATTTAACAGCCTTTTCCAGTCCCTCTGCTCTCTGCTGCAGGTATTTATCCTTGCCACACCCTCTGAGGCAGAGCTGTGCTATTAGCCCCATTGTACTGAGGGGGAATTAAGGCACAGAGAGACTTAGGGCCAGATTTTTAAAGCTATTTAGGTGCCTAGAGAGTCAGCTAGGTGCCTAGGGGGAGGTCACCCACTGAAAACTCCCACTGAGTTTGGATCAGGCCCTAAGTGACTTGGCAAAGGTCACATAGGAAGCTTGTGGCAGAGCTGGGCATGGACTCCAGGTCTATCAAGTCCCAGGCTTGCGCCCTGACCACTGTCCTATCCTTCTTTCCCTGTTGTATCCCTCGTGGCAGGGAAGAGACCAGAGTGAACTGTAATGCACATGGGCCTGATCAATGCCCATTGAGGTCAATGGAAAGAGTCTCTGGATCCGGCCCTATAAAAGGGATTCTTGATAGAGATATTCCCAGTCCCCTGCTCTGATCACAGCTTGCCCAGGACATGATCATGTATGTCCTTTGGGCCCTGAAATACTAAACCAGCAGGAGATACCATGCTTGTCTGGTGAGTCACCTTATGAACTGAATGAAGGGGAAGTGTCTTCTCTCTGAAACTATTCTCCTGGGGTGGGAGGGGCGGGGCAGTTACACCTGTCTAATTTTACTAAAGCTGTGTTGTTTCCACCATCCCCTCTACGCACTGACCTTCACCACGCTTCTTTTTGCTTCTCTCTGAAAACAATCTATAGCCCCCGTTGTTATAAAATCCAGCATGGAAAAACAGCTGTGGTAATAGCCTAATGATCTGAGTCTGCTCTTTTCCATTCCATGGAAGGACAGCTCTAGATAAACAGCCTGGTTTCAACATCGCTTCAAAGGCCATTTCATGCTAGCCAGCTATACCTCACTAACTGGAGATCATTTCGCATTTACCTTGGCTTTGGGGGATAAGAGGGTTTAGGCGTCAGAAGACAATAAAAGCTGGAGTTGCCTTGCAACAAAGGCCTCGCTTATTCTCCGCCAGATGTCATGTTAGTGACAGATGAGCCTTGTCGTGCCAGTTGTCTTAGTGATATCAGCATGGCAGGTGCCATCTGTAACCCTACAGAAAGGCATTACACTCTCAGCTATATCTAGAGAGCTGTCACATAGCCACTCCCTGTGCCAGCCACCCTGGGCATAGCTTACAATGGATTGTCACCAATGCAGCCTGAAATGTGTCCCTATAGCAGGAGAGGAAGCATTGGGTGCTTCTCTCTTGCGTGCTCTTTGTTTGCTTAATCTTTTCAAGGGGTCATGTTTGAAGAGAAGTAAAATGGAGACATTTTCAACTCAGGTTTATTTAAGCAGCTGCACCTTGGGAAAGATTAACTAAAACAACAGCTGGAAAGCTCCAAACTTTGGGAATGCAGGCCGAGTGATATGGCCCAGAGGAAAACACTGTGATTTGCCATCTCTGCAGGCATAGGAGATCCAGTAAAATAGGCTTAATGATCTTAATCCTGGCCTCCCTGTATGGAGGTGTTTACTCAGAAGGGGCCAAGAGTGGGTTGCTTCAGGGCAGCTCAGATGGGTGCAGTGGGAGAACTACATGAGAGAACTTGAAAGGCATCTGCAATTTGGTGCGGGGCAGGGCTATTCACCTCCGTGGGATCAGAACATTTCCGCTGCTCATGCACGTTAGTGTCTTTGCAAATTAAAAGAGTCAAAGCATGACTTCCAGCTGAGCCAAGATCTGAATGGCTGGCACTGGCCTGGCCTCTGAAGAGCACCAGCATTCACTGAGCTTACCTAAAATTGTTGTGAAATGCAGAAAGCTCTAGGCTCACGTTAAGAATCCGAAGAAACTCCTATAACCAATCTCGCTTTGAGAGGCTCTACTCAAAATATGTGCCCGTAGCGCCATTCTCTGGATGTACAGTGCACAAGCTCAGCTGGCGAATGCTGCGGCAGTACATGGCAGCGCTTCGCCAATTCACAACTCTGGCTGCTTTGAGCAGTGCTACACGGATGCAATTGGATTCAGCTGGGACGCGCTTGATTGACAATCTGCTCCTGCAGCCCCCTAAGCCAGCCACTCTCAGAGCTGCACCTTTTTTTTTTTTTTTTTGTAGCAGGATCTGAGACCACAGAACACATTGCCAATCCCTCGCATGGGTGGCAGCAGTTGGTCCTTATTGCAACACAGGCAGACTTTTAAGTAAAAGCAATCGTTTCTGCTATGGCTCTGCTACTCTGCACAAGACTCTCAGATACCACGATGACTGGCATTCAATGGATGGAAAGACTGATCCACTTGAATGAGGCAGGCCTCGATTTTCCAGTAACTGTAAAAGTATCAGACAAAATAGCTATGTAATATATTCCACAAATGGAGACAGCTGTAAGCCAATCAAAACACCGATTTGCCATCCGCTCCTGATCCAATTAGATTTTGATGCAAATTGGCTGGAACTGGCATTCACTAAAGAGATGTCAAAGTAACTGAGTTTCACTCTGTTATTCAGCAGCTGTCCACTAACACATGGGGGATCCCAGAGGGGAGATTAAAGTGTTCTCAATTCATTTCAGAGGCTTTGTGAAATTCTGCCCAATGTAAATCCGCAACGGGTAATGCTATGCTCCCATGCCCTTAGACCGGCAGCATCTGCCCCCACTTGTACCGTTTTAACAATAGCATTAATTTGCCTGACTAGAAAAGGTTTTGCAAGTAGCTGCCAGTGCTGCGACCTGTTCAAACATTGTAAACCATGGATAGTTTCCCCCATTGTCATTGCAATGCTATGGCACGATGCTATATTTAAGACTCCAGGATGGGCACTTACCCATAGGGCACATTCTTTTGGGAACAGTCATTCTTAATGTCATCAGCAGGGAAAAGGAAACGGTCCTTTGTCCTTTATCTTTCTTGAGGACAGCCACTCTCTCTGGTGCTTCTCTGGGTGAATCTGACTTATCTGTAAGTAGGCTACAGTTTATACAAGACTTATAAGACTTTTATAGTGGCATCAGCTATTGCAAGCGTTCATTGCACTTGCACATGGCGATAATTCATGCTTCTTGAGTGTCTCTTGCCTGAAAGAGTTGCTACGTTTCCCCCCCACCAGTCTTTTCCTTGTGAGACTGTTTTTCCAGCAAGAATCCATTCTGTAGTTTTTTCTAAATAGATCATTACATTTTGGACTGGAAAGCAGTCGGCTGCAATACAGCTGACATTATGTTTTAACAGACCAAAGCTCTGTGTCTCTATAGCAGACCTTAGGTTGCAGAGCATTGAACGTTAGTTCAAAACGATTGAGGAAAAAAACTAAACTAAAATAAAAGCAAACATGAAACAATGTTTATGTGTAGACCATGGAAACACATATCTGATGCCTGGTAGTTATTTTTCAGCTGAAATATAGTTCAGAGCATATTTTAAAGAGCATAGAAGCATTTTTCTGAAAAATTAGGTTGGTCTTATTTTCTTTTCCTTATATTTCCTTTGCTGTCCAGGGAAGACTCTTTTAAAGCTGTGTTCTACTGATGGAACCGGAATATGATAATTCTATAGTTTCCTTTGCATGTTGGGATATTTTGAGTTCACTATAACAATTAAGTTTTCATCTTGGGTATTTTTAAGCAGGTTACTTATATTAACATTTAAACAGCTTATTAAAAGAATTAGACTAATGCAACATAATTGTAGTAAAAACTGTATCTTCCTGGCTGAATAATGGTTTAGGACTAGAATGCAATAAACTAAAAGCCAAACTAAAATAGCTAGGGGAAAATTCCTTCCATTGAAATGAGCCAGTGACAGGTTTAACTGCATGGGTTTTCAAGGAATATTATTAACAAGGGTAATATTTTCCAAAGTACCAAAATCTTATTTTCAAAAATCACTTAGGATCCTAAGCCTCATTGAAAATCATTCCGATTCAGGTGTCTACAGGTCAAAGTCATTTTGGAAAATAGGACTTCGGCTCCTAGATCCACTTAAGCATGTTTGAAAAATCTACCCCAAATCTTTTATAACCAAAGACTTTTCCTACCCATTCATCGAATCCTGTAATTTGTATGTGACCCAGACTGATTTTGCTTTCATGTATTAGTCACATCAGGGACACTCTGGAGGACTTTTGTTTGCTTTCATGCAGTGAGTTTCTGGAAAGGCTGTAGGTGGGGTGGGTTAGGGAGGGATACCCTTTTAAAAGTTGGGTCCATTTAATCCCCAGGCATTTATTCAGTACTTAAAAACAGCTCACTGCACGTTCCCGGAGGAGGGGCTGCAGGGATAGCTTAGCATTTTAGGCAGCCGATGGGAGGAAATGGACCAGAGCCAGTAGCCACATTTTTCGCCCCCCATATTTCCACCTCTAGCAACGAGAACACACAAGAGAGGATTCTTCAGCTGCTTTAGTGAAAATCCTGTGGCTTATTGAGTGATGAGATTTTTTTTTTTAAACAAAACTTAACCCTTTGATTGCTGCACTCTCTCAGATCTTCTGTAATCATCTTCAGGGAAATAGGGGGACTAAATGAGCTCCCAGGCTGTGCCCAACAGAATAAAGGGAGAGTTATCTTTGGACTCCCAGCAACACAAATGTGTCTCTTCCATATAGCTGGTTTGTGCACCAGCATTGCAGTAACAGATCTCATGGTATATCTCGCCCCATAGGAGGGATTACCAGAGAGATCAAGGCTACAAAACAACAGTGCTGGTTCAGGATGGATTTGGAGAAGGGGAGGTGGCCAGGTTTTACTTTCTTCTCTTCTACCATTCCATACCCACCTGCCTTTCCTCCCCACTCCTTCTAGCCCCCTGCTGTTTAAAAAGCCTCCTGAAACTAGCTGTGAGGAGTTTACAATGCCATGGCCTTTTCCTGAGATGGCCCTAGCAGGAGCACCAACCCTTCTCAGCCTCAGTGTAAAAGGGTGACACCACTTGGCCAATCAGATGGCCTGACTGGTGTCTCAACATTCCGTTCATCTTACATCACTCGCCACCTGACTGTGATTCTCAGAGAACAGTTAATGAATATGAAAAGGGTTTTTTAAATTAAGATAAAAGCACATTTTAAGGTGCCCTCGGATTTAAAAAGATTTCGGTTTAGTCCATATGGATTCCAGTCCAAAACTCTGCTGACTTTCTAACATTGACCTCAATGTTTTAAGATTGTCTATCAAACCTATTTTCGTTTAATTTAACCTATCTGGCTCATCTAGGTTTTATACCAGGCTCCTCCTTGTAGTGTCTGAATGCTATTTTGGAGCTTGATCCCATGCCCATGGAAGCCAGTGGAAAGACTCCCCCTGATTTAATCAGGCCTTAGTGAACAATCAACATAGTGACTGGATTTTAGCTATTTATTGTTCTTCTCCTGACTCCAATTACTTTTAAAGGCTCTTGAGGGACCCTCTGCTCTTTGATTTTCATTTTTCACCAAGAATTGATTTAACTGATGTGGAACCAAAATTGTTCATAGATGTTAAGATCAGAAAAGGCTGTTTTGATCCCTTACATAACACAAGCCAGAGACCTACCCAGTAACTTCTGCATCAAGCCTAGCACTTCTGTTTGAGCTAGAGAATATCTTTTAGAAATATTTTTTTCATTGCTTTGTTTTTAAGGCAGATGCTGGGCCCCAGTTTTTAAAATGGGAATCCCTCATTTACAAGCAAATGGATGCTTAGGAACCAAAAATAAGTAGCTGTCTTAAAGATCTGAGACTGGTGTCATTGAGGTCAATAGGTGCTTATTTGTATGTGCAAATGAAGGGTTATCCTGGACTGTCAGAGACTGCCCATTTGGAAGGGGGGCTCAAAGTGTATTTGACTCTGTTTTGGCAGGTAAGATCCCTCTGTGAGCACTCAGCATGGAAACTCGGACTCTGTTTCACCGCAGCGAGGAGGAGCAAAAGGAAGAGAGACAACGCAGCTTGCAAATGACCTCTACCACAAGAAAGGCAAAGTTCAGGTCCAGGTGAGTCAAGGGGCTAGTGCTGAGTCAAAGAGTTTATGATGAAGTGAGTCAGGTCCAAGTGAATCAGCCAGGCCTAGGCAAGTCAAGGGACTAGTGGTGAGTCAAGGAGTTATCAATAAGTGAAATAAGGAGGATGTCTTGTTCACTTATTCATACAACACACCCAGCTACATTCTGTGTTGCCTAACCTGACCTGTGGTTTCACATAAGCAACTGATTCTTTACTGCATGCCAGTAAAGTGCTGTGTGTGCCAATCTATGAACACTGCATCCCAACCCATCGAAGAGTGGTAGATGAAGTAAGTAAGTAGATGAATCTCTATGGGAAGAATAGCTGATGTTAAGAGCAACCCTACAATAACAAGTCCATCTGTTGGTCCCAGATCTCGTCAGCCATCCCTATCATTATAAGCCATGTGTGGACAACGGCCCAAAAAGGCAACTCTACAATAATAAACTCATGTGTGCAGCCCAGCCCTCAGTAGTGGCTCTATAATATGAAATTAGTGTCTGCACAGCTTCACCCATGTGAAAGACCCGACAATAATATGCCTTTGCGCCTACAATAAGGGAAAAGGCCATAAAGGTCCAGATTTCAGTTTTAAACGTCCAAGGAGAAACTATAAGGGGAATGATTACAAATACCTTTGTTGGCCTTTCTTTTAGGGGCTATTGAAATAGATCTTCACTGTTCAAATTATAGCTCAATATACTCACTCTAGAGCATGGTCCTCCACTCTCTTGTGCTTTGAGTTTGGTGGAATGGGGGCCAAAGGTATTACAGTGCCCAACTCCCCCTGAAATGAGTGGGAGCTAGGGGCCTAAACACCTATGAGTAGCTGGGCCCAGGGCCCTTTCTCTTCTCATTCACTGCTGTAAATCCAGCCCAGATTGGACATGGCTGAAAGTGATTTCCATAAAATGACTATGGTTGGATGGTCTAATGGGGCAAGCAAAGTAGACTGGGGT